TAATTTATCTCAAGTCTTGTATAATTATAATTTTTTTTATCCTGAGAAGTTAATCCAAAAGAAATTGTTTAATTTGTTCCATTTTGATTGATGCAAACTTTATTAATGAAAGCAGTACTACATCCATGTATTTTCAGTTTTAATCCAGATTTCAAGGATATTGTATATTTTTTGTTTATGACCAAATTATATTAATACATTTAGAATGTAGGTTTTATACAATATTTTAAAAGGAAGGCGTTGTTGGTAAAATCTAAAATTCCATCAATAAATCATTCTTAAAAAGGAAGTATTTTTGCGATTCAAAAATCCTTAAACATTTTTGTAACATGTTTAAGACCTTAAAAGCATTCGAAATGCTCTTCTTTAGTAATTGCTGCTTTATTACTTTTATAATCAAACAAAATACAATTCTAATTGCATATAAACCCAAATAGTTATTGAGAAGTTATAAATAAAAATATAAATATTGATAGTATTAGCAACTTCTAAATTTTGCTCATCTTAATTAATTGAACATGTAGTAAATTTCTCAGCGTATACTTTTATATACTTTATTCTAATTATTTTCCTAGTGTTTAAAAATTGATATTTAAAGATTATTTATAACATTGGATAAGAGGATATTTTTGTAGCTTTGCCTGTTACTTTTAATAGAATGATAATTATTTATTTGGACTTCGATTAAACTATGCAAAAATAATGCCTCTCTATCTGATATACCAAATTGAGGCGATCTATTATGTCCTGAAAATAAAGATAAAGCGACAGAAGACTTATAAAATGCTTAAAACAAATGAGGTGTGCACATTATATCAGAAGAGAATCCAAGCTCTGATGTGATAGTAGAAACTATTCCAGTTCAGATAAAGCCACCATTGATGTAGATTTCTTTAATTTTGATATGTGTGACAAATTCCTGAAAGATTTAGGAGTTGAATTTACCAGAAAATTAGTTGACTTATGATCCTTTGATTTAAGTTTAATTCTTAGATTGAATCTTGTCTATATAAATAAGTAAAACTTACCATAAAATGGCATGATTCTATTATTGAAATCACATTAGCGATTCCTCAGAAAGAAATAACTCTCTCATTGAAAGTTTTAACTAATCACACATGTCCTCATCCTTAATATCACCAGTGTCGCTAATAAGGCAAATTGACTTCCAATTTCACCATCATATATATATCTTCCATTTAAGTACATTAAAGTATTATGTCACTCGATCTCATGAAGTAAGAATTTGTATAGCGTACCACTTTATCTTTCCTTTTGATCCTTTAATTTCTCTCTCTCACTATGCATGACATGTTCTCTGAAATAAATGGCTAATTTTATCTCTCCTATTCAACTTAATTTGAAATAGATCTGTCATCTATTTAGTTCATTTTTGCTACATTTTCTGCTGATTGTCATCATAGGTAAGAGAGTGAATTAATTTCTCTCGTAGTGCAAAGTCTTAGAAAGTTGTATCCAAATCCGCATGTTATTATCAGATTAAGACTCTCCTTATCTAAATGTCCAAGCATCAATCTTTTTGTGTTTTAATTCTGAGTTCCCTTACCCTAATCTCATACATAAAGGCGATCATTGTCAGTATAGCCTTATAACTCATATCTTTCTCTTCTCCATTTCGAGACTCATACTAGATTGATGCCACATAATTTGTTAACTATTATTGTTTTTTCGCCTAATTCGTTCCTTGTAATTTAATACGAGTCTTTTTGAAATTAATAATTTATTCTAGTCCTTTCATGATTAATAAGTAATCTAATTAACATCTCAGTAGTTAGAGTTGTATCCATCTCTCAGTAACAATTACATCTTTACTAATGTATTTGAATATTTAATCTTTCTTTGCCAAGTTCTTCAAAATATATCCTCTTGGGTTTCAGTTCTATTCATTTATTATTAAGAGTCCTGGAGATTAGCTCTTCTTGAATCTTTGATCTGACCTAAATATTACTTTTTCATCATGATGTTAAAATTTTATACAACAAAATATTTCTTATTCAGCCTTTCTAGCAAACTACTATTTTTTTCAT